CAGACTGACAGACACAGACAGACCGACAGACAGACCGGGCGTTGGCGGGATTGGGTTTAGCAGGGCCTGGTTTACTGATGTGTGCTGGGGGGTGCTTCACCCGAGGAATCACCTGTTACGGCTGACCTGGTTCAACGCTTCGGAACCCAATTGCTCATTGACCGGCTCCCTTCACCCGGGTCCTGACTGTATCCCAATCACTAACCGACCCCCGCAATTCACAAGGCTCCTCCCCAGATGTTGTATGTCTTCTGGGTGTTTGTCTCCTCCTCCTCCGCTTCCCATTGTTTGATATCTTCCTGGGCATCGACGATGCTGCGTGTCTGTGTGCGCCTTCCCCCTCCAAACTTTCACCCCTCTGGAAAAAGGCTGCTCGGCGATCTTCTGACCCGGGTCAATCCAGACCCGGGTCAGCAGCAAACCAAAAACTGCAATGCAGGAGTTACTCGGCGCGGGGCTCCCCATATGTGCATCTCATTATCTTGGTACGTCTTTCTCTTGATATCTGTCAATGAGCGCCTGTGTGCGAGGGCGAACCGCTCGCTCGAGACATCCCCACAATCTGCAAGCATGAGTGCGACCAATAGCAAATCTGAGAGCGACTGATTCTGAGTGTGAGTTATCTGGGTGCGATTGAGTCTGGGTTTGAATGGGTATGCGTGTGAGTAAATCTAGCGCGAGTGCGTCTGTGTGCGAGTGGGTCTGAGTATGGGCGAATCTGAGTGTGAGTCAGTCTGTGATTGAGCGGATCGTAGCATGATGAGTCTGAGCATGAGTGAGTCTGGGCTTGAGTGGGCCTGAGTGTGAGAAAAAGTGTGTGTGTGTGCGTGTGTGTGTGTGTGTGTTAATGAAGTCTGAGTGCGAGTGAGCCGAGTGTGATTGGGTATGGATGTGAGGCAGTCTGAGTGTGAGTCGGTCTGCGTTTGCGCGGACCGAAGGATGATGAGTGTGAACAGGAGCGAGTCTGAGTATGAGTGGTTCTGAGCGTGAGTCTGAGTGTAAGTAAGTTTAAGTATGGATATGAGCGAGTCTAAGTGCGAGTGAGCCTGCGTGTGATTGACTCCTCCTCCTCCTCCTCCTCCTCCTCCTCCTTATCATCATCATCATCCTCCCCTTCCTGCTTCTTCTCCTAATTACCGTGTTCATGCTGTCCTCCTTTTCCTCCTCCTCCTCCTCCTCCTCGTCCTCTTCCTCCTCCTCCTCGCTTCCTCCTTCTCTTCCTCCTCCTCCTCCACTTCCTCCTCCTCCTCCTCCTTCTCCTCCTCCCCCTCCTCCTCCTTGGGAGCGCTGAAGCCAGCAAATCGCATGAAACATCCTCCCAAAACTGCTCCGACAACGACAGATGCCCAGCATCATAACGGCCAGACTGCCTGAGACATCCCCGCAAACTGGGCGCGAACGTCCTCCAAATCTGCCCCGAAAGCGAAACATGTTGGAAGAGAAAATGGCCAAACCGCCTGAGACATCCCCACAAAATCCAGCGAAAGGGGCCGAGTGAACCCCCTCCGCCGCTTCCCTTAGAGTGCTGAAACCAACGAATCGCCTGAGACATCCTCCAAATCTGCTCCGAAAGCGAAACATGTTGGAAGAGAAAATGGCCAAACCGCCTGAGACATCCCCACAAACATCCAAGAAAGGGGCCAAAGGAAATACCCCCCCGCCGCCCCCCGGAAGTGCTGAAACCAGCGAATCGCCTGTGACATCCTCGCAAACTGCTCCGAAAGCGAAACATGCTGGAAGAGAATATGGCCAAACCGCCTGAGACATCCCCACAAACATCCGCGAAAGGGGCCAAAGGAAATACCCCCCCGCCGCTCCCCTTAGGAGTGATGAAGCCACAAAATCGCTTCACACATCCTCAACATCAGTGTGTGTGTGAATCATGCGATGAGTGGACCTGAGTGAGTGTAGTTAATGTATGAGTACAAGTACGAGTGAGTCTGAGTGATGAGTGAGTCTGAGTGATGAGTGAGTCTGAGTGATGAGTCTGAGTCATGACTGAGTCCGAGTGATGCGTGGGTCTGAGTGATGAGTGAGTCTGAGTGATGAGTGGGTCTGAGTGATGAGTGTGTCTGAGTGACTGACTGAGTCTGAGTGATGAGGGAGTCTGAATGATGACTGAGTCGGAGTGGGTCTGAGTGAGAGGAGGTGAGGTGGTGTTCTGTTCTCTGTCTGTTCCTCCGGCGCGGTTCGCCAATAACAAGAACCCCATCTCTTTGGATATGGGGAAAAACAAAACCTGCAACACAGGTTTTCGCAACCGGGTCAACCAATAGGCGCGGCCGCCTCGCGGCCACGAGCGGCTCGCTAACCCGGGTCAGCCAGGGGGGACCTTCGCAAGATCCTGCAGGATCCGGCGCCCTGGCTAACCCCCGTCTGCACTGACCCCCGTCTCCAGGCTCCCGAGCTGCGCCCCGCGTCCCCGCGCCGGCTCTGGCTCTGCGTGGCGCGGGCGGGCGGACGCGGCCGCGGAGGCCCGCCGAGGCGGCCCGCCGCGGCGGCCCCGCCCGCCCGCGAGCGCTGCGGGCAGCGGAGGCAGCCAGAGAAGGTCTTCGCAGGATCCTGCAGGATCCGGTGCCCTGGCTGACCCCCGATTGCACTGACCCCCGTCTCGTAGGCCCCGACCGGCGAACATCAGGGGGGCCCCGGCACCACGGACACGCGAGTCCTGCGGCCTACTCCGTCGGCCCTGGCAGCGGACCCACCGAGCCGAGCGCGGCCGCGCCCGCCCGTCCCCGCCCGCGGCCGCGCGGCGCAGCCCCCGCCACCGTGCCCCCCCCCCCAGCGCGCACAC